AATAGAAAAAAGCTATTTCTCGAAGATGAAGACATTCAAAAATTTAAAGATAATCGTGTTCCCGGCCCAATCTTCCTTGAATTATCTAAAGAAGACCTTCTAGCTTCTCCATATAATCTTCCTGACGGAACAGCTAGAACTATCGCTGGATTAATTAGAAACATCAAGGGCGAAGGACAGGGTAAGTAGTACCACGACTGCATTCGAATATTCCAAACCTATACTGCTTTCTCCGCGTCTCATACTTATTGTTATCGTAGAACGCGTTGCAACTAGAAAGCTTGGTATACTATTTAATGTTTTACTAACGTGTTTTTTTTCACATTTCTAACCTCATTTCTTCAACCACAACTGGATCTTGGATTTACTTGTTTTTCATTATTCGTGATATTTCGTTTTCTCTGTTTCTTGTTTGAATTGAATACCAGCTGTTAAGCGTAAGAAATCCGGTAAGATGATTTGCTGGCATGTATAGTTACCGACCGGTGTTTATGATTAATTGGATTATTTCATCAGCATCAGACGTATATTTCGACATTATGGATAAAATATCATGCCCTTCAAAATGGGAAAAAGAATGGACTAAAGATAGTAAACAAAAGGATGGAATTCTATTCCGCAATCACCGGCCCACTAATGCTTCTGATATTCCAATTCAATTTTATCATCAAATATTTGAAACGTTTATCAACTTTACACGGGATTGTCGAATATCAAATAGGGAACGTAAACTTGTGCTTGAACTTGCTTCTGTGATGTCCGGTGTATTTTCAGACGAAAGCCAGAGGGCAGATGCTTTCAGATGCTGGCTTGAACTATTTTTTGATGATGAAATTGAGATTCAATCAGTAGAATCGAATGAAGTCAACCAAAGTTCACGAATTGGTAAACGAAGGACAGATGGAAGTATATATCCGAAGATCGGCAGAGATAGAATCCTTTTAGTAAACTTAGAAGTTAAACCTGAACCTGGTACGAATGGCGACTGTTACATTCAGAATGATGCCTACTACGAAGAATTTGTTATCAAGTCCCGTAAGCAGGAATCTGTGTTTTATAATAGGACCTGTTTGCCTGCTTTCCTTATCGATCTAGATGGTATGTATATTTTTTAATACCCAGATCACCATATCCGCTATCGTAGATTCCAAATATCTTCTAATTTTAAAAATAACAATACAGGACCAAATTTATCCATATCCGGTGCTGTCTGTATCCCTTTCATAGTTTGTGATCGCCTTACAGACATCTTTCCACTAGACAGAATTACTTACAATCATGCTAAAGCAGATGATATTACACGAGTATTTCTGGCCTAAAAAACTCTATACATATATTGAAAGATTACTATAGTTCTGTTTATGAGTCAAGAGAAGTCACTTGCACTACTAGCCCTTGGTTTCCACGCATAAATAAGATTAATTTAGAAGAAGGAATAGCTACCATTAAATATAAAAAGAGGCATTCTATACATCGAAATTTATGGATTGTGGAAATACAAACTGAAAATACGCAAGAGAAGGGTTTAGTCAAATTCACCCAAACATATTCTAAAGAAGCACATAACGCATGTTTCGAACTAGGTTTAGCACCAAAATTATGGTCAGTTAATAACCTTCAACAAGGTTGGAAGATTGTCGTCATGGAATATTTGGAGGAATATAAACCATTACACATTGTCGATTTAGAAATATTTTCCCAAACAGAAAGCGTAGTTAAAAATGCTACGAAATCGTTTCATGATTCCGGTTACGTACATGGAGACCTTCGTGATGAAAACATAATGGTCAAATATAAAAATAAAAAAATTGATATAAAATTTGTGGACTTTGATTGAGCAGGAAGAGAAGGGAGGCAATGTATCCTGAAAGTCTGAACCCTACTATTAACTGGCATGTAGATGTTGGCTGGCACAAGCTCATCAAAAGGGAGCACGACCATCATTTAGTTGATAATATTTATCTCGATATGTCTGATGACAAACCCTCAAAAAAGCGACGGCGCCTCTCAGAATGGATGGGTTAATCAAATATTTACGCTCTTTAAATACTTTTTATTTTTTAATATAGCATTTCTATTATTGTCATTTACACTATGCATTGGAAACAACACGAATATACTAAAAATGTACTTTGATCAAGCTAAAATAATTGATCGCATAATAATAAATTTTTATGATTGTGAATAATTTTTTTGTATGTACCCATATTTTACTCCGCATATATTTTTTTCCTTTTTTAGAAAGACCGTCTATTGTTCCTAGAGCGTTAAGATAAAAACTAAATTGCATTTTTGTTAGTACAGCCTAATACGTTTACATATATTTCATTCTAATGTCTACTACCATAAACTAGTGTTCCTAGGTCTGGTCCGGGTCTGGATCAGACCAGACTCAGACTCTAAATTTTACTAATTTCAGACTTCAGACCAGACTCAGACTCAATTGTGGGTTCGGTCCGGGTCT